AAAGAAATGCATCAGAGGAGTATCTTTTAGATTCTGAGTTTCTGTCTTCTGCTCTCTTGTTCAGTGAGGCTACTACAATTGGTCTGATCAAAACCCGAGACACTTATCCATTTGGCGTGGATCCTGTGTGGCATGGTACCCGCAGTGAGCTACCATTCCTAAATTCGCTTAAGATGAAAATGTCAATTCTTATTGGTGTTGCACAAATGAACCTCGGAATCATAATGAGTTTCTTTAATGCAAAATTCTTCAAAAGTGCTGTAAACGTATGGTGAGTATTCAATTTTCTTCCCTGATAATTACGTACTCCTCCCAATTCTTTGATCCTCTCCCTAGCAAATAAAGTCGGTCTTAATTATTGTTGTCTGATCTCACATGGTTCCAGGTTCCAGTTCGTTCCCCAGATGATATTCTTGAACTGCTTGTTTGGCTATCTTTCGGTCCTCATCATCATAAAGTGGTGCACTGGTTCTCAAGCAGATTTATATCACGTAATGATCTATATGTTCCTGAGCCCTATGGATGATTTAGGAGAGAATCAGCTTTTCCCTAACCAGAAAAAAATACAGGTTTGCATTGATACCTAACTTGTACTCTTCTGTATCAAAAAATCATATGCTTTAGTCTCATCTAATTCCATTCCTATTCCAGCTCACATTCCTCTTTCTGGCTCTGGTTTCTGTTCCGTGGATGTTGTTGCCAAAGCCATTCATCCTGAAAAAACAACATGAAGCTGTGAGTCCCTTTCCTCGTCGATATACTTAAAAGCTTCCATATTGAAATTTGTGCTGACCATTACCGAAAGGTGATTGTTGTTTTCTCCAGAGACATCAAGGTCTGTCATATGCACATCTTGATGAGACAGATGAGAGTCTTCAGGTAGATACAAATGGGGGAGGACATGGACACGAAGAGTTTGAATTCAGCGAAATCTTTGTGCACCAACTCATTCACACCATTGAGTTTGTGCTTGGAGCTGTTTCCAACACTGCTTCTTATCTTCGTCTCTGGGCCCTCAGGTACAAACTACAACTTGCACAGACACCAAATAGTAGTAACTAACAGAAGTCCTACCAAAACTAGCACTTGTCAATATCATTTAGCAATACTATCCGGTTTAATTTCGGAAGTATTGGTTTGTGACTACTTCCGCATGTCATGACTAATCTCTATGCTTTGCTGGCATTCTTATTCAGTCTCGCCCACTCGGAGTTGTCATCAGTCTTCTACGAGAAGGTCCTCCTTATGGCTTGGGGGTAAGTAAATGCATCTACAATCTTTTAGCCTCCCTATGCAAGTGTCAACTAATACGCTGTAGAAGGTGTTAATAACAATCTTTCTCTCTTGAACAGTTTTAACAATGTCTTCATCTTGATTGTTGGGATCCTCGTCTTCATCTTTGCAACTGTGGGAGTGCTTCTTGTGATGGAGACATTGAGTGCTTTCCTTCACGCGCTGCGTCTTCACTGGGTGGAGTACCAGAACAAGTTCTACGAAGGCGATGGTTACAAGTTTGCTCCTTTCACTTTCACTCTCGACGGAAACGAAGACGAGTGATTGATGTTCCGAATTCCGGAAATGCCTTCTTCTGCTTGTGCATATATAAGGTATGGGAAGGAAGGATTCTGAGTTCCTTCTCTAATTAATTTTTCTTTTCTTTTTTAATTTAAGAAAGAAATTTGGATGTTTTCTCTTCCCCTTTTTCTTTATTAGAAGGCTTTATTGAATTTATTTACCTTTTGCGGAGAAAAAAATAAAAATAGGGAAAGAATGGGATTGTAAAATGCCCCATTTGTTGTGTTTGTGGAAAAAAAATAAGCTGGTGTTGTGTGATCACCATTATATGAATTTTTTTAATATAATTAGAAATAGCAAAAAAAAGAGCATTGTTCTTTTGGTGAAATGATTCTAAAAAGATGAACAATTTTTAATGTTAAGGATTTGCTTACTCATGTTATTGTCCAATCTGCAGATCACGATTTTCTTTAGCTTAATTGCTAATATTGGGAATTTATTGATGATAGAGTATGATTGGGTATAAAGATAATGAAATTCATGAAATAGCTATGTTAATTAAGGAGAAAATGGATTACACAGTTAAACTCTCATACAACTCTAATATAACTTAATCTTCCCTTACACTCTCATCGACCCACTCATGAACAAATTCGAGGCATTGGAGAGGAAAATCAAGATTCAGGTGATTAGTTGCGTCTTTCTCAAGGCATTCAGATGTGTAATAAGAAGGAACAGAGTGGAGACAAACACACAATATTATATGCGAGTTATAGCCTTAATATGGACTAGGTTTGGGCATTTGGGTATCAATTCGGGCTTAGATAAGGTATTTTAGGTTTCGGGTATTTCCGTTCCTAAGTCTAAGTCTCATTCAGGAATTTTTTAAATTTTGGATCGATTTCGGGTTAGGTTTGGTATCTTTAGGATTCAGATCGATTCGAGTGTAGAGCTCATCTCAACGGTGTTATCCCTTTAAGAATGTATAGTTTTCTCTAATCTTCTTGTGCTTACTTTTCCGACTTCTGATTTTGTGGTTACTTCTCTAGTATCTCGTTCTCGCGTATTTCTAGAACTTGTAATCTTATAAGGTCGGTTTTTTAGCTCGGTCTCAAAAACTTTATCTCTGAGATTTCTTTTCTAAACTTTTCTTCCTCATAATTAGACTACCAATCCAAGAGCACTTTTTAATTAATGTGTGGGCTGGATAAAAGAAAAAAAACGTGTTGTGCTTTGAAAACAAAAAACTTAATGTCTTGTTTTGTGGGATTCCAAAAAAATAAATGATGACATGAAATAAAAGTTGATAGTTCCAACTTTTAAGACTAAAATTAATAAATGTCCAAAATATTAAATTTGGTAAAAAAAACCGTCAAAATGTACATTTATGAACAGTCCCACAGTTTACACGCCAATCAACCCCTTAGTTCAAACTTTCCTTTTCAAAAAAAGGTAGCAATTAATGAAAGTTTATTTCACAACTTTGCAAGGACGCTTGCAACCCTCTCTCTTCCTTTATATATATAGAGTCATACTTTCCCGAGAAAATATAGGGACTAAACAATCATGAAAAAATATGATCAAAATTTGATTTCCAAAAAACAACGAATAGATTATGCGAAAACCAAAGATATCCCAAACCTTAAAGGCGAGGGTGGTTCTAAAGTCGCTGAATCTACATTTGCATCAAAAAAATGTGCGAGTAGTTTAGTCTACAGATTGTCCTTCAAGGGTTTGGTGAGTGATGAAACAACGGTAGACATGAAAGGGACTTTGACGGGTGGATTTGGGATAGCGATCTGCGATGAGACGGATATCTTGTTGCATGAAAGGAAGGAATCATTGAACGGTGCTATGATTAATCGCGAAGAAGTAGAGATTATAGCACTTATTACTGGGTTAAGGGACTCAATTCAATTGGAGTTTAGAAATGTCATGATTTGCTGCGATGACTATCAAATTTTCCAAATCGTGAGTGTTTTTTCTTTGTTAATTTTTTTCGTAAGATTAATACAAAATAAAAATAACGCTAGTTTTACATAATGCAAATGATATTCTTATTCTAGTATTTGAAATCTCATTGGATGTTTAGATTCATTTCTTATCTTATTAAGTTTTATAAAAAAATCCTTAATTCTTGTAAAGTAGTGTTACTTTTGCTTATATAATACATATAATCGTTTATAATTTTAATAATAAATATTGGTTCTTGTTTAGTGAAATATTTTTCATTATTTGTACCAATCAAAATAATGATTTGTATTGGCTTGTATTGATTTTTCATTTCAGATAACTGGTGGAGAGAAGCGTCAACAGAACATCGTCCATCTTGTGGAAGAAGTCCAACGCCTTAGAGGGGAACTGGCTTCTACTGAAGTTGTTTTGGTTGCGGGAACTGATGTTAACTTTGTTCTTAGACTTGCAAGAGAGGCACTACAGAGAGAAACTTGTGACATTTGTTGTGAAAAAACCGATGCTGATCGCATGTTCGTTACTGACAAATGCTTACACCGCCATTGCTTTATTTGCGTGAAACGGCATGTGGAAGCGAATCTGCTTATCGGAATTTCACCCACATGCCTTGGAAATGGATGCAAGTTTGAACTCACTCTTGAAAGCTGTAGCATGGTTTTGACACCAAAGCTGACTGAGATGTGGAAACGAAAGATGGAAGAGGACTTAATTCCCGCTGCGGACAAAATCTATTGCCCATATCCAAGCTGCTCAATGTTGATGTCCAAAACCGCGCTTTCCCGTGAAACCAACCAATCAAATGTCCGGGCATGTGTCAAATGCTGTGGACTCTTCTGCATCGATTGCAAAGTACCATGGCATCATGGTTTGTCGTGTGCTGATTACAAGAAACTTAACCCTGAACCTCTATTTGATGACAAGAAGCTCAAGTCTCTAGCAAACGACAAGAAGTGGCGTCAATGTGTCCAGTGTAGCAACTTGATTGAACTTCGTGAGGGTTGCAACCACATTACTTGCAGGTATATATATCGAATCCGATTAAGCTACTTTAAATCATACTTGTATTTCACAATGTTTTTGTGTGTGCATTGTGTAGATGTAGATATGAGTTTTGCTACATATGTGGGAACGAATGGAAGGAGAACCAACGATCTTGCACTTCTGGTTGCAAACTTGATCATGATGATGATGATGAGGATTATGATACTGATGACAGCGATGATGATGATGATGATGACAGCGATGATGATGATGGCGGAGATGATGATGATGATGATGATGATGGCTCAAAATATAGCAGTGAAGCGGAAAGAGATGGGATTAACTTTGAAGATTTTGCGGTTTACCAACCCTAATATCTCAAATGAGCAGAAAGATAAGAGCAGCTGAATTGCTCGGAGAGGTATAATGAGGAAGTCATGAAATGTTTTCTTTTTCTTTTGAAATTTAGATATAATAAGATAAGTCATGTAATGTTAAAGACCTATTAAGGAATTGTAAGCCCATGGCACTGTGTTTCGAATTCACCAAGAAATGTGTTTTTCTTAATTTATTTACAGAGTTTAAATATCATTGCAGCAGAATAATGAAAAGCTCAAGAAGTGGCAGCAGCGACGGTGGAGACCAAACTATCAACACCGCAAATGTTACGACCTTTACATATCTTATAGAAACCATTCTCACCCCAAGACTCACCCCACGAGTTCTTGATGATCCAATACGGTTTTTCCTTTAACCTTGCTTGAGAATACCCAGACGAACCATAACCCATCAACAACACACCGTGGTTAAGCCGCCTCGAGCATATGTAAGGACACGAGACTCCTCCAATGTAGGTTTGCATATAAGCTGCGTTGATGGCCACAGCTAGAGGACCGTTTTTGACAAGGTTTGCAGCTATTTGATCTTCGTTGATAGACACAACACTGAAGTTGGAGACAGATGCAACGATCTTAGACCTGTCTAACTTGCAGCTCCCTCCATCAGTACCGGTGTAAGGATAATCTTCCTCTCGCATAAGCCCTCCGGTTTTAAGCGTGTACTCAAAGGCACTGTTCATAAGCCCACCGTTGCAACCAGAGTCACATGAACCTGCCTCTTCTGGATCACACTGCAAATAACAGCTGAGATTATGAATTTGTAATCTTCTAAAGATAATAGCAAAGTGAAGCCAAGTCTAACCTCATGATCACAATCGACGAGCTGTTGTTCACTGAGGCTAACGAGTTTGCCAGTCGCGAGAAAGTGAGCACCTTCAAGAGCACCTGTAGTGCTAAAACTCCAGCAAGATCCACAAGATCCCTAATAAACAGAAATCAATCAAATTTCAAATCCATCATTATTCATATTCTCCAAATGAAATCGTTATTACCTGGTTTTTCACTGGAGTAACCGCGCCGCGATCTCTCCAATCAAACTCCTCTGGAAGATTGTGAGTTGGGAGAATCGGAGCTTGATTAGCGTCTTTGGGAAGCTTAAACCCACCTGTAACCCCTAAATGCTTTCTCCGAAACTCAGAACCAGTCAGATCCGAAAACTGCGTAACGCCATGACGAGCAGATGGATCCATCTTCTGGTGACGCATCGCTCGCCGGAGATTAGCTTTGAAAACAGAGAATCTGTAATAATGCTCCTCAATGGAACCGTAATCTTTCCCGAATTTCTTCTTGAAGAGAGTAAAGTGATCCTCCGATGACAAAACTTTCGGCTCCGCTTCATCAACCACTTGGCGGATCAACAAATCTTCGTCTCCGCAAATCGAAACAGAGACGAATACAAAGAGAAGAGAAACAGAGAACAAAACCCTAAGATGATCCATGACTTTGGAAATTGTGGAGAGAAAACAGAGAGGAAGAGAGAGTTGACGGATTAAATATAAAAATCTTAGGACTTGGAACCAATGATGACTTGACACGTGGAAATTGATGACCAGTAGTTATAATCTAATTTTCCCGCGAGAATGTTAGTTGTCGCACACCTACGGAGTTTTCGGGAGTTTGATAAATAGCCGTTATAGGATATATTTAACATGTTAACTTTGCAGAATAAACCGGTCCGGTTCAACAAAATAAATCCTGATTTGATAAGGTTCGAGTTCGGTCTAGTTCTGACAATACAAAATCAAAACAAGGACGTGTTTTCAGGAATCAACACTTTGGAGATTTTTAAGACGGTATAAAAAACAATACAATGAAACTTGAGGATCAAAACTGACATTTGATTAAAAGTCTCAGGATTCGAACCACCTCCTGACTTGACCGGAACTCTGTTTTTGTGGGCCGGTTTTGGCTGAGCTCTGCGAGAACTTAGACCTGTATTGCTCAATCAACATATCAAGTTTGTCCACAACCTCTGCACCACCTTGACCTTGCTTCTTCTTCCTCTTCCTCTGTCCATTTATATTCTCTTCACCTCTATCCTCCCCAAACTTCCTTTTTCTTGGTTCCCTCAAATCTTTGGAAATCTTTGGATTTGGTTTCTCAGTTGTCTCTTTCTGTCTCATCAATTGGCCTTTCTTGTTTGAAGACGGTTTTTCCTGTGTGCGTATAGGTCTCTTCTTCTCTGCTGCATCATCCTTTACTGCTATATTGGATTTTGCTTCTTCTTTACTCTCTACACCTGGGCGACCAGGTCCCTTCTTAAACCTGGCTGCGTTCTCTTTCCTTGGACCACTGTTATCCCCTTCCCTCGTTTTTCGTTTGTATTTATTGTCAGGTGCCTGCGCTTCGCCATTCGACTGCTGCTGCTCAGATTCATTGTGTTTATCACGTTGCTGAAACTGCTGCTGCTTAGCTTCTCGTATCTTCAGCTTCTGGACATTATCAACAGCAAATTCTATAACAGGGCGGTGCTGGGGACCAAATGTTTCTGCAGAGATAAACCAAAATGATTACCATAGCATGAAAATTATGATTCTTGGACTTCACTGCATTCTAAATCGCATGCAAAATGATACTTGTCTCATCTTACTCTGATTAATGAGATAACCACAAAATGATCAAATTGCAAATCGTTTAGAAAAAGTACTTGAATTTCGATGGAAAGTTAGCTTCCAGCAAGATCAATTACCAGGATTGTTGTTAAGTACTCTCAGGGCCACTAGAGCATGTTCATGCTCCGTGAACTCGACAAAGGCAACTCCACGGGAGTAGTTCTTAGTATCAACTTTACCCTTCTTCTCATTTTGTAAGAACTTGATCTGCGTAGAAAACAAAGAAACTAGGTTCAGATCATAGAACTATGTTTGAATTGTACAACAAAGGCGAATAGCTGACCTGTCGAATACCCGGCTTCTGCTTTGTAGCTCGTGAGGTAACAGCATCAACTAAGAGCTTGTGTAGTTGCTTTTGATTCATGGATTTGGGCAAATTATAGATCACAAGCCTTGTTCGAGATACATGGAAGTTAGGAGACTGAAGCTTTTTCATTTTGTTTTCATGCAATCTGTGAGGACAATCACATGCTCACTCTTCACTCAGCCCAAATCACTAGACAGTAACGTGCATATATGGGAAAGTAAGAAAAGTTTTACCTTCGTCGCCTGTCCATATCTTCCGCAGACACACCCTCAGCAGCAGGTGAATCATCAAGGATCTGACCTTCCTGTGGAAAGTCAAAACAGGATGATATATCAGTGTGTTTGAAAAGCATGCAGATAATAAGATTTCCAAAGATTTGTGAGGACTGGGAGAAATGTGTACCTTAGCAAGATAAAGATTCCGATGGTCAACATTCTTCTCCTCTGTCTTTTTGAGTTCTATGTCATGTGCAGCTTTCTTACCCACAGCTCTCATAACGTTCAGTTGTCTGCCTTTAAGAAGGACACCGACACCTGAGGCAGTATTGGCAGCTGATATGGCTGCAACTGATGCATCTGCTTTTTTGAACTTGAGAAAAGCAGTCCCTTCTGGCCGTCTGAGAAGAAAACACAGAGAGAAAAATGTGAGGCTTTGAGTTTATGGAGATACCAGAGCTTTAAGTTTGTTTTAATGATTGAATGAATTTCAAAGCATATAAGAATGCATACTTTGTGACCTTGTTGAGAACCAGGAATAAAGATTCAACTTCCCCAAATACAGCAAACTTCTGTTTGACTTCTTCCTTAGTAACATCAAATGGGATGTTTCTTATAAATAAAGTTCTCTCAAAATGCTCATTTTCCTGCGTTTCTTTAGGAGCCACCTCTTTAGTTTTACCGGATTTCAAAGGTTCAGAGACACCAGAAGAGTCAGCGACTGGCTTAGTTGATGAATTTTTAAGTTTGCTTTTATCCGACTCCTCTGTCTCACCATCAGGAGAAGCAATAGAACCTTTTGAAGACGCAAGCAAGTTCTTAAGAACCTTTCTCGCAACATCTGCTTCCTCTTTAAAATTCACATCGGTCCCAACATCTTTCTCCAGTGCATCTGATTCACTCAGTTTGTTACTGCCATCCTCCTCCTCATCATCAGTATCATCTCCTGAAGGTGGGTGACTTTCTACAGCATCATCAACCTCCTCCAAATCAACACTACTGTTATCACTGTCCCCGTCGCTTCCTTTTTGGTCACCTGCCAAGGTTTGCGTCAAAAAAGCATGACTATATGTTAGGAGGAGATAAAACAAAACTTCCCACTGACTGTATCTGTTTCCCTCATATACAAGTTGAGGAAAAAAGTTTTTAATAATTAAAGTTCTTAAAAAATCCAGTGATAAAAAGAAAATACGGTAACATACCATCTGCTGAAGCAGTAGTGGCATCAGCAGCACCATTGTAAAGATTCTTAGGTACAGCCCAGTCTACAGCTATAGGCCTTTTACCAAACATGTGCCCATTGAACATTTGAATTGCCTGAAGATGCAAAAGTAATTAAGACAAGTGATACGAATGGAGGATAACAAAATCAAGATACCCATGTTACTAGATCTTACATTTTCTGCATCTTTCTTACACGTGAATTTGACAAATGCAAAACCCTTAGGTAGCCTGCAAAAATATAAACTAAAATGAGAATAATATACAATGATTTATTCATAATCAAGAAATCACTCAGACGAGTTAGAACATACCCAGTTTCAAAATTTTTAGGAATAAAAACATCCCAGACAAACCCTACTGCTGAAAAGACCTCTTTAATGTCACTAGGTTTAGCCTGCAAAATTCAAAAAATCCATGAGAAGCAACGAATTTATGTATGAAATTGTAGAGATGGCAAAAAAGTACGAGTTTTAAGAACCTGGAAAGGAAGATTTCGTATAATTAGTTTCCACTTCTGAGCCTTTGAACCCTACCTCCAAAAAACACCAATAAATTATGAACTGATTCACATGCTAATCATTTAAGAGATACAGTGGTGAAAAGTAAATGATGTTCACCTCCCCACCAAGCTGACGAGCCCAAATGAGATTTCCCTTTATCTCTGTTTGATGTAATTTTGCAACAACGGCACAAGCAGATTTGACACTCGTAAAGAGAACAGCTGATGCTTCTGCCCTGCATCCATCTTGGGTAAGACCTGAAAAAGTAATAGTTCTGACGCTTAATAAATGCATCATGAGCACAAAGTCTGGCATTTTCTTATAAGAAACCAAATAAGTTTACAGCTACATGCCCACAGTAGTAATTAAGACGTGGATAAGAATGTCTTGCAAACTATATTCAAATACTATAAAGGTATGTGCACACAGGCTTTAAGAAAATATGACGTGATATATATAACAAATAGACGTAGTTAAGTGAAGATATAAAGTAACAAGCTAGATCTGTTCAAAAAAAAGAAGTAACAAGCTAGTATTAAGCCACAAGATAAAGAAACGCGAGGCAATGGAAAACACGAGCAGGAGATACATTCCAACATCAATATTTCAAAAGTCAATATAATTCCAACACTAGCGAAAAAGGTGTTTTTACTTTATACTTAATCTCTTCCCAGGAATTTACGAAACCTGTTATAGTCAATGGAAATTCATGTCCTAATAGTGTTCATTGAGACTATTCATTTTGTGCAGTGAAGATTTCGTAGGCATAGATCAAGCAGCTTTGAAGGATAACTTGACAGTTTTACGAAATAAAAACCTTGTAACTAATAGATATAACTAATAGACTTAGTTGGGGTATGAAAACAGGCCTTTGCCTCCATTTTCTTTACAAGATTGTTACCATTTTGTTGGAGCTCTTCTTTGGGTAGGGGATATCTGACAGAGCACACAGTCCCAATTTCTTTGACTCGACTATGGACTACCTCTGCCATCTCAGCATTAGCAAGCCCACCAAATATTACAGTTCTTGCAACTCTTCACCCATGAAAAAAAAGTAAACATATATATAAGCAAGAAAACGAGAAACGCAGTTTTGATGATGCGTATAGAATATTAGGTTTACAAATCTTTCTAATTACATGCTTACTCTCAAAAACATAGTCTTTGTTACAAAGGCAATTATAAATTCATTCAGGATATATATATCTATACAGAAATCAGCACATTATTATAAAAATCATACCTTTGCTTATCTGAACATGTTTCTTTATCAGGTAAATCAACATGAAGCTTTGTTGGTCCTTTGCGCTCAATTGGCTTCTCTACTTGTTTGCGCTCAATTGGCTTCTCTACTTTTTTGCTCTCAATTGGCTTCTCTACTTTTTTTCGCTCAATTGGCTTCTCTACTTTTTTGCTCTCAATTGGCTTCTCTACTTTCTTGCGCTCAATTGGCTTCTCTACTTTTGTTTCAGGTGGAGGAACTGATGCAAATACAAATTAAATGATAAACTCGAACCAAAGAAACTTACTTAGAGTGAAAAATCATATATATGCAAGCTTATACCTTTCTCGTCTGTCTCGGGGATCAAAGTGTCCTTGTCACTCTGTGCCTGGGAATCATCAGGTAAAGAGATTCCTAATTCGGAAAAAGTAAGAAGAAATGTTAGACAAGAAAAATTGATGTCAAAGAATAGGTGAATGCTGAGATAACAATAGGTGAATACCAACCTTGAACTGCTTTAGTTCGACGCTCTTTAAGAGAAGGTCGATTTGTGGCTTGTTTAACAGTAATCCTACGGCCCCCAAAAGTAGAACCGTTCTTCAACTCAATGGCACGGTTAACATCTTCTGGTAAAGCACTGCCAAAGGAAGAAACTTGGGATTGTAACAACCAATATCATCACTTTGCCTAGTTAGAATTCAACAAGTGATTAGCTTACAATGTAACAAACGCAAAGCCACGGTGTTCATTAGAACCTGCAAATAAATAAATAAAGATCATTAGCTTCTGAATAAGCGTGCGTGATGATAACTTAAATTTCAAATTCTCACCCTTATTTGTGATCAGATAGCAACGCCTGACGGGACCAACTTCACTAAAGGCTTCTTCAAGCTGAAGCAATTTGAAGAAAACAAACAACGCTATTAAGAAATTCATAGGTTTCTACAACTACAAGCCAACCTCCAATTATCGGTAGGATCAAAGAAAGTACCTGAGCGTTGGTGATGGAATAAGGCAAGCCAGACACGCAAACAGTGGTGGCAGACTGTGGAGATTTTTCTTCTCCATCTTTCCTCTCTCTCTTGTTTTTCCCCATTGATAGACCTTAAGCACTCTAGCGAGAGATTACGATTAGGGTTTTGAGGAAGAGGGCTGAAGATGATGTGAATAAGAAATCTAGGGTTTATCTACTAAACCACTTAACCATGTTAACCGACTTACCCAGATAAAATTACTCCGAACCGAATGGTACGTTTTCTGTTGGCTCGGTTCGGTTTTTTCAAGTTTTCGGTTTAATTTATTTATTTTTACTATATTTTTTGGCATTAGTGATCGGTTCTTTTTTTACTGTTTTTATAAACTCAACAACAGTATATGTAATTGAAATACAAATGAAGAATAAACTTAAATTTAGGCTCCGAATGGTAACTGCGTTTTGCGGTACGGGAGAAGTGCAGTATTACATTGCGGTACGGTTCAACTGCGGGACGTACGGGAGAAATATATTTGCGGGACAAGTGCGGTTTGTATAAAATAAGCGGTACGAAATAAAATTTGATTGGTGAAAAAAGCTATTTGCGGGACAAGTGCGGTTTAATATATATATATATTAATAATTAATTTTTTTGTTAATAAATAAACAATAACATAAATTTATAAATCATTAGTAATACACAAATTGATCAAAATACAAATTTAATTTTTTGTTTTAAAATTTAAACCATATATTATAAATCAATATGTTAATATCACAGTATGAAATATAGTAGATCATTTAGTAAGTATATTATTTACACTAAAATTATTTAACAAAAAAATAATTTAAATATTTATTATATAATTAATATGAAATCATTTAACCATATTTTTAACAAAAATGACTATAGTTTCTTTATATTTCTATAAATCTGTTTTTTTCCGTAATAAAACTGATTATTTTATAGTTTATGAAAAATAGTGAAGTAAGTTAAAAAAAAATTCTAAAAAAGACATGTTTAAAAAATTATGCATTATTAAGAGTTTTTTTGTTAAAAACTTAAAATATGTGGTGGTTATTAACTCCCATTTATTCTGAAAAAAAAAATTAACTCCTATTTACTAATTATTCTATAAATTAATAAGCTTTCACATTATGCTCTCTGTATCAAACTTACACGTGACCACCATTTTAGTTATTTTGCTTTTTGTACTACCTATTTAGAAATTAGTGACTGTTTCAGTTGTTAAAAAAAATAAAAATAAATAAAGAGATTAATATTTCGTTTTATCTACTGCGGAATTTGTAAAACCACAGGGTAATTGGTTGTTGGAAAACACTACTGCGGTCCAAGTGTTAAAACCTTGTTTTGAAAACCGTGAACAGATTTTTCTTTCTTTTTAAAAAACCACAGATTACCTAAAAAGATAACTGATTGGTGACAAAAGGCGTTTTTCAAAAACTACACTTGAATTCCGCACCTCTCCTTGTCACCATTCAGGGCCTTACTAGAAAGTCTTTCAAATTAAAAAGAAAATAAACCGAAACCACGTTGAACCATCGAACCAGAGTGTTTAGAAAACATAAATGCAAATATAATGTTATTATTATCTGATTGACCAAACGATCAATATCCGGTTCGAATCGGTTTACCTTGTGTATAAACACTTGATATCTTCCTTCATCTTGGTCGTTTCAAGAAACGCATCACCGGAGTGATCAACATCAATGGCTCTTAGCCCAAAATCACCTCTTCCTGAGCCAACATTCCACTCGAACCACATCTTAGACATCATCTCTTTACGCGTACACGTTTCGTAGTTCTCTTCCTCTGGTGACTCCGCAGCTACGAGCTTGTACGCATACACTTTCCTCTTCTGTCCTGGTCTATAAGCTCGAGCCACGGCTTGCTGAGTCACTGATGGGTTCAGATGAACATCAAGAATCAGAACTCGTGATGCACCCACTAGTGATATTCCTTCCCCACAAGCTTTGATCGATCCGAAAAACACTTTAGCCTCTGGTGAATTGTTGAATCTCTCCATTGACCATTCTCTCTGTTCATTGCTTGAATCACCTGTGATTGTGAACATCTCTTTCCCTAAACGCCAACCTTTCATTGAGCTCATCAGTCTCTCAAGAGTCTTTATTGGAACAATGTATTGGCTGAACACCAAAAGCTTCTCTCCTGTTGATTCACACAGAGCTAAGAGGTTGAGGAAGAATTTCATCTTCACACCATCTCTGACATTGATCTTCTTCAGCATCTTGTCCAGCTTCATAACTGTTGCGTTGTTATCAGCAAAACCTTTTTCCCCGTTGGAAGGGTTTTCCTCCAAGAAAGATTTGAGCTTTGGGTGTATATACAAAGCAGCACCAAGAGAGATCTGCTTGAACAGTTCCATTTTCCTCAGACCCTTGATTTCATCTCTCTGAATTGAGCTCAAATTTAGCATGACAGTGAACTCACTAAGCCCCGGAAGCAAGCCGCTAAAATCTGCTTTGTGATAATGCAAGATATTACGGGTCATTTCGCGGAGATCCTTTATCAAGCTGGCTTTGGCAGAAAAGTCTATACTCTTCTGTAATGTAAGCTCTACTGCAGCGAAGAAAGTCCCCTCGATACTACTCTGGTTCACCTGTTTGCCTCTCGGTATCTCTGCCTTGCTCATGATACGAGAAACAATCTCCCGAGTTCCAGGACGCTTCAAGAACTTGGGCCGAACAAGATTCAAAATGTTGAACACTTCCTCAACGTTGTTTTGGAACAAGGTCCCTGTGAGAACCACCTTTCGAGGAGTCTTGACACGAGCAAGCGAAATAAGCATGTTCGTCTCCTTATTCCTTGACGTATGACCCTCATCAAGTATAAGCAACGTTGGCTTCTCAAGCAATATCAGCTTACAATCTTCTGAAGCTGCCTCAAAATTCTTATCATCGCAGATGATCCTCGTAAACTGTTGGTACCCAAGAAACAGAATGCTTCTCTCCTTGAGCCATTGCCCCAAAACCTTCAGTTGCTGCTTCCGTGATTCTGCTTTCACGCTGTAGAAATCAAGCAGGGGAATCTTCTCAACTTCCCACAAAGTAAACTCTCTCTTCCATGACTCTATGATCCCCTTCGGTAGCACAATCAATGGTCTAGCCTGCGGATCCATAGCCATGAAGCTCTGCAGAAAGCTGATGAGCAGAAATGTCTTGCCTGATCCTGGTGCATGAGCTAATATGCATCCACCTGGCTCATCCGCTGCAAGGTTGTTGCATAAAAATCTGAATCCTTCAGTCTGGTGAGGCCTCATCTCCTGATCATGCCATGGGTGAATGAACATTTTTTCTCCCAAAATGTTTGTCTGAGAAGACTGGATTCCTGAGAAGGCCCTACTCGTTTCCCCATTTTCTTTTTCACGCATATAAGTTCTTCTTGATCTCTTTGGCTACACCAGGAAAGAAAGTAGATTGAACTTCTGAATATTTGTAACAAAATCAATATATTCCAGACACAGTTATCAGTGATCACTAACCTTGTTGAACACAACTTCAATCATGCTCTCAATTGGTTTCTTGATGAGTCCACAAACACGACACACTTCTCCAATATCGTCCTTGCAGATGAAGGAATGGTCACAGTCTTCGACTTGTTTGTGATCATTACTTTGTGAATCCTCCACCGTTACCTAACCAAGAACATAGGCAAAAATCATCTGAAAACGCTACAAATGCATAGAGAGCAGACACCTGCTCCAGAACTCGAAAATGTTAACCTTAATTGATTCTTGAGCAAAAGCCATCTGCCTCCAAAGCTCTTCTTCTTCTTCTGCATCTACATATAGAGGACTTTGATTGTCAATATCAGTTGAATTACTCGATGAATCCTCCTCGTCATAACCTTGTGGACTCATGTCAGATCCTGAGCTATCTCCATTCTTCACAACAATCACTTCCTTGAGCTTCTTCAGCCTTTTATATAGAGGCTGAAAAATGCAAAGCGGGATCACATGCAACAAAACATGAAACCAGATTATAGACAAACATTTAACAAATGAACATTAATTTCTGTGATTAAAGCTTACAGTAACTGATTCTTGAGGCAACTTGGAAGGTTTTTTCTCTTCTCTAGCTTCGATATCTTCCAGTGAGATAGAACCATTCAAATATTCCTGTCTCAGCTTACAAAGTCTCTTAACATTATCAGCAAGACATCCGTATACACCATCTTCAAGCCCATCAAGAAGATTCGGTACACTGAACGGGTCGGGACGCTTGGCAAGTTCTTCTTGAGTAATGCTCCTGCTACGTGACCTCAAAGTCCAAGCTGTGTACGTCATCAATCACCAGTAAAAATTAGAAGCAGAAACATAAGGCAACTAACATCTGCACCAAAAGGGGTTTAATTTCTTCAAACAAACTCAAAAAAGAAACGATTTTTAGGTCAAAATCTCATCCAGCAAGAAATCTACAGTCATAAATGAACTCATGGAAACAAAAAAAAACCAATGTGGGTTTTAGAATCAACAGATTCGGTTTAGCTCTAGAAATCAAGCAAAACCCATTTGGCTTTTTAGATTTGCACACTCAAATTCTGAATCTTTGAACTTTCCATAAACAGAGACTAATCTTCTTCTTTCAGCAACAAGAGAAGTTACAGAAGAACAAAGAAACGAGAGTGTAAGTATATAAACGTACGCGTCTCCCTCGGCTTCGAAAATGGAAAGTGATTAGTACCCACCATGTTTGATCTTCGCTAGCTAAACAGAGCTCCTTAGATCAAAACTACGACTACAAACATGTAAAAGACTCCAAAGATGCAAGCTTTATGCATGAATCAGAGAGATTTTAAGCAAAGAAGACAAATAGATCTGCTTTTTTTCTGGAAAAATTGAAGCTTTTTGGTTTCCCATAATAGAAGTTAGTCATGGTGGCAAAGTGGCAAAGGAGAGAGACAAGAACACGGACGGTTTCGGAAGGTCAATAAGACAAATCAATATATACACATTTATTATATCTACACACTTAAACTTGCTCTCTACTCTGAGTGTTGTGTGTACTGTGTAGTATGTGTGTTTCTAATGTTATGTTGTCTACAATACCATGGCATTTCCAAAATCTTTAAAAACATTTCAAACTTATATATGCTTAGTGTACTCATATTTTGGTGGAGTCATGTTTATGTCTATCTCTTCCATATATATCTATGTAGGAATAGAAATGAGCTATATGTACCCATGCTAATCTAAAAAAAAGGTTTTAGATGATTGAGTGTCGTCCTTTCGAGAAAATCCGATAAAGAAAGATGATTCGGTGTGAATACTTCAATTGGTATGTTAGGGTTCCAAGGAGTTTTAAGTTTTGGCGGTAAAGAAAAAAGTAACTAACCGTTTTGGTCTCTATATAACGCAAATAAAATAAAATTTTAAAAGGCTTTAATTAATAGATTAGTTTTCGCGGGAATATTTAAAATACCGTTATGTTTTTTTTTGGACAAACAAATACCGTTATGTTTATATCACTTAACATATTAATTATTTTTGTAAGATTTCTTGCATCATGTTTATATATGGTCAATTTCGGAATATCTTCACATAAATTGACGAATAGCTTCACATATATGTTAAGCTAGTGTGTACATGGAATGGACAATGTATTATTAGTTATATGATTATCTTCCTGTTTCATAATAAAATTTTGTTTAATAATTTCAATGTAATTTTAAAAAAAAATTATCAAATTTATTTGTCAAATTTTAACCAAAAATTAATTCTTAGTCAAACACTCAAACCTATTAATTTTGGAAAAAAAAATTGGCAATTTATTCAAAAGCCAACAGTCAACACAGCTTGTATAATATTAAAATTATACTATTTTATTTAATAAAACAAAAACTGCAGGTTGAATACAAATTATATTAAATATAGGAAATAATATTAAGAGGGTGTTTTTTTTTTTTTTGGTATGAAGAGAGTACTTGATACCACAACAAAAACCACTACTTTCATTCTTCAACTTGTTTGTGATCATTACTTTGGTCATTCTCCACCGTTACCTAACCAAGAACATAGGCAAAAAAATCAGCAGAAAACGCTAACCAGATACATGCTCAAGAACTCTAATCAATATATACAAATTAGAGCTCTATGATTGACTGAAAATGTACAGGAAGTAACCTTAATTGATTCTTGAGCAAAAGCCATCTGCCTCTAATGTTCTTCTTCTTTTGCATCTATATCCATGGGAGTTTGATTGTCATTAACAGTAGAATTCCTCGTTGAACCCTCCCCAACACAACCTTCTTGAAGACATCCTGAGCTATTTCCATAAGAACTGTTTCGAAGAGCATTGCTAGTAGAAGCCGAGCCTTTAGTCAACTTATCATAACCAGAGAACCAAGGTTCATCGTCATCCACAACAATCACTTCCTTGAGCTTCTTCGATCTTCTATCATCTAGAGGCTGGAAAATAATGCAAAACGATTATAAATATTTAAACTTGACAACAAAACATAAAATCAGATTAATAAACAAACATTTAAAGCTTACAATAACTGAGTCTTGAGGCATCTCATCATCTGAATCGATGATAATAATATTAGTAGACTTGGTTGGTTCGATGATAGTAATACTAGCAGACTTGGTTGGTTCGATGATAGTAATATTAGCAGATTTGGCTGGTTTTTTCTCTGCTCTAGCTTCGATATCTTCCAGCGAGATAGAACCTCTCAAATAGTCACGTTTTAGCTTACAAAGTCTCCTAACATCATCAGCAAGACATCCGTATTTACTATCTTCTAACCCATCAAAGAGATTAGGTAGATAGAATGGGTCAAGGCGCTTGGCAAGATCTTCTTGGGTACAAGCTGTTCATCATCAATCAAACATTTTCACCAAAGGGAGTTTTTAATTTCTTCAAATAAATCCAAAAAAAGAAAATATAGGCGGCCTTCATAAATATATTAGTTTTCGCGGGAATATTTAAAATACCGTTATGCTTGTATATCATCTAACATATTAATCAATAATCTGTATAACATGAACATACATCATGTTTATGGTCAATTTCGAAAGATCTTCCGAAATACGAATAGCTTTCACATAAATGTTAAGCTAGTATGAACATGAAACATGCTTCTTCTTCAAATCAATCACTGAGATGGGCTCTTAGGTATCTACATGTACTTTTTTTTTAACGTTATATCTTCTACTTTTCCAATATAAAAATTTTAGATCCATATTATATAGATGATTTATGAATAGTTCTATATCCAAATTTCACACTGGTGTCGACAACCAAAAAAGAAGAGGATTATATAAATAAGAACATCTCTTCGGAACACTATTTAATTTGAAAGTCAATTATAAGAAGAAGAAAAAAAAGACATTCTTTAAGAAAAAATGGAGAATATTGTAATCACAAAAAAAATGTAGACACAAAATATATATCTATAAAGAAAAACAAAATCAGATCTGAATTTGCAGCAAACAATTCATATAATATAGGATAGGCACATAATCAATGATCCATACCTTTCTTTTGTGAATTTTGTTGATTATCATCCATTGAATCAAGCAGAAGATTCAGAATTTTTCTTAGTTTTGTTTGGAATGTGTTTGCTATCAAGAATCAGAGAAACAAAAACTTTTTGATATAGAAAATGAATTTTGTGTTCTCTGCTCATTTATTTATATCATAAAGAAGGAACTAAAAATAAATTATTTTACCAAAAACGAAAAATATGATATAATTAAATAAAATATAAAAAATTTCCTCTAATTTTTATTTAAAATAATCATTGTTAAAATGTAAGATATAAAAGTAGTATAAAAATAATATGTTTAAGCTACTTTTTGTATCTAGTTTATTACTATCAATACATCAACTTCTACCAAAAATTAGAATTATTAAACTACTAACATTTACTAATATATTCTTAACCACGTAACTTTAGACGATTGGCGCGCACATTTGAAATGATATATTATTTTTAACAGTTTTGTGCTTAATATTCAAAAATACCGTTAATATTGTGATATCCATTAAGCAACTATCTTATTTATTATTATATAAATTTTCTATTATATATATATATATATATATATTTGTAAAAATGCAATATAATTTTTCAAAAGAATAAATGAAATGTTGTTGACAAAATGTGTAACGAATTATTTAATTTTTGCGTGAATATTTAAAATACCGTTATGTTTGTATATCACCTAACTTATTTATTCATTGGGTTGTATTTAAATATATATATATATAATCATTATTATATATATGTGCAAATATTTACTTTTTTGTTTATATGAAATGGACAATGTATATTAGTTAAATGATTATTTTTCTGTATGATTAATTTTCTAGTTAATAATAAATATATTTTCCTATAATTTCAATGTAAATGTTTTATTATAAATATCAAATTTTAACCAAAAATAACCCTTAGTCACAATTATTAATTATTTTCAAAATTGGTAAATTATTCAAAATGCCAACAGTCAACTTTCATATGTATTTACCTAATACAGACTTTTCAGTATGGTAATACTATTTTATTTGACATATTAAAATAAAAAATACACCAAAAATATCTATAAAAAAATTGCAAGTTGACTACAACAAATATATTCAAGAGAAAGTATATTACATATAGGAAAGAATATTAAGAGAGCGCTTGATACCACAACAACAACTACTGCTTTCCTAAAACTAACAAAAATACTACATTTCCTATTATAATTTGTTGACTACAATGAATGTTTTTTTTTTTTTTATAGCTAGCGGACGTTTAATCAGTGTAAGGAGAAAGCTTTATATATTGGGTTTGAATAGTAACCACGTACAACTATAATATAGGGTATAATACTTTCATTGTTACCAATCATAAAAGCAATATCAAAAGCGTTATTATAAAACAGTTTGTATTTTTGGTTAATACAAAAATATATCAAAAGCGTTATTTAAAAGTGTTGCTCTTAGCTTTTTTGTACAGCTTTAATGTACCACTACTAGATATTAACCCGCGGTACACCGCGGGTCTATAATTTTATTAAATAATAATAAAATTAATTTTTTTTTAAGATGATCTATAGATATATGCTATTGTTTTGTTTGATTTAAATGTATGGTACACACGATATTTTATAACTAAAGATTTAAAATTTGAAGTTTTATTTGTTTTGTTAATATTATTTGTTTAGTTTTGTTTAGTGTTTAAGATTGTATAGTTATATTTTGATTGTTAATTATAAGATTTCACCTGTAGTATATCATACTGTATTAATATCGACCCCAAATCCGTCCGACCATATAACTTTGTCCCGTGAAATCTACATCATTTTGTCATTTTCCAATAAAATTCAAATATTTCTAATATTCGAAACTTCATTTAATATCGACCCAAAATTCATAATAGTATTTTGATTGTTATATCTAGGATTTCACCCGTAATATACCGTCCCGTATTAATATCTTTTGTAAATATTTATAATGTTTAAATTTCTTATAAATTATTATAAAATTCAACTATTTAATATTTGAAACTTTATAAAATTCCTAATATTATAAATATTTAAAACGTTTTATAAAAATAAACTTTTTTAAATGTTTAAATAATTATAATATTTTACTTTTAATAAAGTTTAAATGTTTATAATAATTTGAAACTATTTAAAAGTTTCAATAAAAAATATTAGAAAACATTAAACATGAAATACATTGGATAAGAAAATAAAATATATATGATGTGATTGTTAACCATATAAAACATGTAATTGTTGTAAAAGGTTTTAAAAGATTAGAAAAATTACACTTACCAACCAAAACTCGGATCCACAGGTTTTAGTAAAAGTATATATCATAAAAACAATTAAAATACATAACATTAGAATAATGAAAATTAAGAATAAGAACTTTATTTTATTAACAAATTCATTTCTTTTTTACGTTAAAGAAAATGATTTTAATAGAATGGACTTGTTATGTTAGCCTATAAAAGAAAATCATTTACAAACATTATGAGGAAACATGAAATTATGAAAATGTAAAAAAATACTGGACACTAAAAAAAATTCGTATCTGAAGATAAGAAGAAGGACTAACTAACCTTTTAATGCATACCTTATTTGATAGTTTCTTTGGAGACGGAGTTGATGATGTCCATAATTTCCAAAGATCTTAAAATCGAAAGCTGCAACATAAGAAAAGTAGGTGACAATTAATTTTTTAAAAGAAAACAAACGTGAAATATAAAATGTACTAAGAACATTGTTTAAAAGAAGCCATATAAATCTCTATTACGAAAACGTTTAGTATTGTGGATCAATGGTTGAAAAGATCTTTTTTATATAGATGAATGAAAAGTACTCGAGAAGTTTAGGTTTGATCTAAAAATTAAAGGGAGACTCACAAAAATGCCCCTTTTTCAATACCCTTTTTCAAAAATGCCCCCTTTGGATGTCCATTTTTAAAAATACCCCTTTTATGTACAAAATGACTAAATTACCCTTCTTTTAATAAAAGATATCATAAATATATAAGGAAATATAACAAAATTAGGTCCACAAAATACAAAATATTTTTTGGCGGGAAAAGTGATCCCCCAATTTTTCCCGCCAAAACACTTGTAAAAATTTGTAAAACCTTTAAAATACCTTGTAAAATTTTCCCGTAAAAAATTTTCCCGCCAAAAAATTTTTTTTGCGGGAAAAGTGATTCCGCAAATTTTTTGGCGTTAAATTTTTGGCGGGAAAAATTTACCAGGTATTTTAAAGGGTTTTTACAGGGTATTTATAAGGTTTTACAATGTATTTTAAAAAGCTTTACAACGTATTTATAAAGTATTTATAAGATATTATAAGATTTTACAAGCTATTTTATAAGGTTTTACAAGTTATAAGGTTTTACAAGTTTTTTATAAGGTTTTACAAGTTATAAATACCTTATAAAACCTTATAAGTACCTTGTAAAACCTTTTAAAATACATTGTAAAACCTTACAAAGCACTTGTAAATACTCCGTAAAACCTTTAAAATACCTTGTAAATTTTTCCCGCCAAAAATTTTCCCGCCAAAAAAATTTCGGCAAAAAAATTGCGGAATCACTTTTCCCGCAAAAATTTTTTGGCGGGAAAAATTTTTACGGGGAAATTTTACAAGGTATTTTAAAGGTTTTTACAAGTGTTTTGGCGGGAAAATTGCGGGATCACTTTTCCCGCCAAAAAATATTTTGTATTTTGTGGACCTAATTTTGTTTCAAATAAGGGTAAAATGGTCATTAAAAATTAAAAGAGGGCAAACTTAAAAATGGACTCTCAAAAGGGGCATTTTTGAAAAGGGGTATTGAAAAAGGGGCATTTTTAACAATTTCTCTAAATTAAAACAATTTTCCAAATATTGGAAAATTATATATTTGATTCCTAATATATTCGATTTTGTATTATCAACTGAATAACGTCTATATGCATGGTGGGATTTATGAATGAGGAAAGCTAATTAAAGATATTTCCATTTGTTTTAGGAAGTTTGTTGAATAATATCTAAACGAAACAAAAAAAATCTTTTAAAGATATTTTATGAGAAATAATATATTCGCCAATTTGGGTTGGAGATCAAGTATATGAAAATCTCGTAAATATTATATGTTATATTTATTACATATACTATTATTCACATTTTAGTTATTTAAATCAAAGAATTTAATGAGTTAATTATGGAATACAAAATATCTATGTAAATCAAAAAGTTTAAAGAACCAATAGCGCTGGAATTGATTTTTTTGCTATAACGATTACTAAAACATTTAAGTAAATAAAGATATTTCGTTATGATTTTTCAGCATATTCGAATTTTTGATTATTTCGAAATTTAAGGATGTTTAAGAAATCATGATTGATTTCCGATTTCATAAATTTTGATTAGAATTAAAAATAAAAGATTTAGTATTTAGATAAGGAATATACTATAATAAGGATTATTAGTACTCGAATATATTAGGAATATTCG